GAGTTGGCCTTGCCGTCCGTTGTGGGACTGTTTAATGGAACATATTTCAAAGATGACGTATATTCCGTCAACTAAAACAGCCCCATAATGCACTGCAATACGAACTCGTCCCAGCTAATACTGAGAAACTGAGTAATAGGAAAGCCATAGAGTGTAACTTAATATCTGCTAATTGACTGGTATCATGTCAACACCTTGCCCGGTAAGGTTCTGTGTAGACAAAACGTACCTTTCATACTATTAAGACGGTTCCGTGTAAATGTTATGTACTGGTCAAGTTTTTCGTGCGGTACCGCGTGCAAACATAGGACGTTATTTTAAATATCAACTCCCAAAACACTATTGGATGCTTACAGGTAGCCCAGTTTGGTGTTGTTATGAAACAATGTTCCTGATAGATTCGTTAGTCTGTTGCCACTTAAATATCTACAATATAAACACCATACAGAAAACAGGCTAAAAAAGCACTTAATGACAAAATAAGGTAACTTATAGAAAACATTTAGTATAAGGTCATCCAGCCATTTTATTACAACAGTGTTAATTTCTAGGTTAAAACATCTCTGCTGTTTCTTTGCTTTGTATTTTCATGGCAATGGCAATGGCAATGGCAATAGTAATGGCAATGGTGATAGTAATTGTAATAGTGATGTAAATGGCAATGGCAAAAGTAATGGCAATGGTTTTTCCCACTCATGCGAAAAACGCTCTAATAGCAACAGTAACAGCAATAGTATTTTAAAGTGTGACACGAAAAATGTTTAATGTTGAAAATGTGTAGTTTATTGGTATTAATAAGAATATCATGGTTTAATTTGTTTCAAAAACATATTTCTCTAGAAATTCAAGAAAATTTAGCACACGTTTTGAAGTCATTTTGTTGACAAGTCTCCAGATTTAGTTGCATTGCAAATACACGAAATATGTTTGAATGTAGGATCTTGATTTCAGGGAGTACACTTTCAAGTTTTCCAACGTTTGAAGAGTACTATGTAAGCTATCAAATGAATGTGAATAGGATATGCCTTTTGTCATTATTTCATACAATTTACATTTTATATATATTTAGTGCATTATTACCGAATCTAGAGTACGTGTCAACAAAATGACGTCATAAATTGTGCGTAATTTTCTCACAAGACCTATTCCATAAGTCGGCGTTTTTGGATACTCAAGGAGCAAAAACTACGACTTATGGAATCAGTCTATTTTCTCACATGTCTCGAGAAATGATTTTGAAACAAATTTTATTACGATATTCTTTAAGAGTAAATGGTTTGAACCCAGGTGTTGGAGTTAGGTGTGAAATGTGATCGTCCGGGTGAGTGTAGTATTGAGAAAGACTGTTGTTGGTGGTGACTGACGTTTCGACAACCTTAGCTGAGAAGTCATCTTCAGAGTCCAGTGAGAAAATGAGACACTGATTCGATGTAATATTCTTATCACTAACAAACTACACATTTCAAAAGATGAAATTTTTTCGTGTCATATACACTAGTGGTAACGAGTAGAAAAATACAAGGACGGGACTCTGCTTGATCAATATTCATGGTCTAAAGTGCGAAAACACAATCAAGATGAATGGGTTAAATCTTACCTTTTTTGTATCCATGTAACTCGAATCTCATGCACAAATGGTTGTAAAATTTCTTAACATATACACGGAACTTTCTTGCCTCCACAAAACGCTCCAGATAAAATTTCAGTTGAGGCCTTTGTATACTTCCAAAACCAAACGTCTTTTGCGAAAGAAAACTTCGTATTAGTATTGTCTTACTTTAGGTTGTGATTGGCGTGGCGATTGAACAGCAAAGTTATTTATTCTATTTTTATTTTATTTTATAATCTTTATTGGTCTACATCATATTAACTTAACAACAGACATCTAAATTGTTATAAAAATCACAAGGAAAGAAAAAGAAAAAAATGAATAGTAGGCCAAAAGGAAAGGTACAAACGGGACATTAAGTCCCATACAAGGCATCCTCCAGATAAAATCTAAAAATTATCCTTAAGAAAAAATGAAGAAGGAAAAAAAAAATTCTAAACATACAATAAGCTACTGTTGCCAATGGCAAATTCAGGTTAATTCAATCAAAGATAAACCACTCAGTAAAGCGTTTGCATGGGTACAACGAGGACGGCACTTCGAAGGAGAGGGATATTGACAAACCATAGAGTGGCGATGTTGCGTTTTTAGATAATTTGAAATTTGACTTTTTCTTGGGGTTTGGTTTACTGTCCCAATTACCAGCAAATTAAATTGCTTTTTTGAAGTGCTTCTCATTGAAAAAGCGATGTTATATAAATAGACAAATCTCGCATTCGTATGGTATTCTTGTTCAGTATACACTCAATTGAAGAATCGTTGTCGGGTTCAGAAACATAGAACATAAAAGCTGAGACCGAAATGGCACATGGAAAATGACATAATTATATCATAGTTTATTCATTTGTGCCATCCATGCAGTCGGTTTAGAATGCCAAACGCGTATTAAAAACAGTGGATGATGCCACGGGTCGCCGGTCACAGCATGCATCTAATTAACGTACTTCCCATGTGCAATTTCGGTCTCAGCTTCTATGTTCTATGTTTCTAAACCCGACAACAATTCTACAATTGAGTGTATATAAACCTACTAATGGTCTATCACAAATCCTGTGTTCTGATTGGCTGAGCTACTAGTGGTCTATTAGTAATAAACCACTAGTTACAACGCAAAAATAAATTATTTTAACCTAATTTCAACATTGTTTGTATTAAATCATTTGACCTTTTAGTACAGGATAATACTAAAACAATTAGGACTCTCGCTCTAATTCTAATATTCTACAAGTCAAAAGTCAATTCGAAATGCGGCTCTAAGCGTTGATTAGTACTCGTTACCCCAAACAACCAACAAGACGTACCTTTTCTTTTCCATCCTGAGTTTTATAATTCCGAAATACACGTCCGTCATAGCTGTATCCTAATGTAAAGGAATAAGGCCAACCAAGAAGCGTTCTTTCAACAATTTGCATTGTTATAGCAGAAATGGTCATCACTCTCTTAAAATCAACTTGCATATATTCTCCTGCACTTCTTGAGTTCGCGCACCAACCAGTCCCTCCATTAAAGCGCCCCTTATACGGCTCTAGACCACTTTTCCAGCTACTAGCAGTTATAGAAGAGTCCTGGATAGAACCATCTTCCATCCCAAGGGGCTGTTCATCACAGACTAAAAAAAATTTCAAATAGACACCTTTATTTAATATTAAATAAAAACATCAGGGTAGTACAGTCAGTGGCTATATGCCTATATAATATCAAAAGGAGCCCTTATACACATATACAAAATACAATAAAAAGAAATTAAATATTAAGTTCTTGAGTTCTTCTTTTGATGCCTTTTTTTTGCTTTGCATTCACATGTTTTGCTAAAGAAAGCCTCGCTTTCGTTACTAGTATTTCAGAAAAGTAGTTAAACTATAGCTAAATTCATTAAAAAAATAAACCATAACCTCTCTTTCTGAACGACTTAAACATGCATGACTTGTGGCACGTACAGGAAGCCCTTCTGATGCAGTTCTCGAGGTTTGCGGTAGAAGCAAGTACGTCGTGCTAAAGGTCTCTAAATATTTTATTAACTTCGTTTGTTAAGTCCGTACCATATCTTTTGGATCCTCGTTTCCCCCCACTTTTTATAGCCAGCGCCCTACGTGCTTGGGCCATAAGACAGAGGGGAAAAACTCGGTCCAAAACTTTCGGTACGGACTGAACAAACGAGATTATTAAGACCTATTTAAAGTGCGCATAAGCATCAAGCGGCTTCTTTTTATATTATTCTCGCAGTCGAGCAAGATCGATTATTTACTTCAATAGGAGGGAACCCAATAAAAACAACATTTGTTTTCCAGTGATGAAAGATACTCACGTTCCCGTTTTTTGTTGATAAGATAAATATAGACAAACAAAAATTGAAATGATCTTCAATTTATCATATGCCACACCCTAATAGTAGTAAGGCTTGGTACCCACTAACAACATAAGGATTATAATCATAAACATAACCTGCCTTAAAGACCGACATTATCATGATCGTAAGAAATGCTCGCATATAAGGCTTATGGATACGTTTATATGTCGGCTTACGGCAGGTTATGTTTCTGTTTCAGTGCACTCCCACTTCGACATAAGCGACGTAAAACTCTTATGATGATGTTTATGATTATAATTATGATGTTTATGTCGCTAGTGGGTGCCAAGCCTAATAGACTTCACAATAACAAGAGATAGTGGCTTGTTAAGCACGACACGCTGATGTTGCAACGAAAGCTCTGAATGCATGCGCGAGACGAATACTACTTACCTTTACATCCATAGAGCTCAACCGTGAGGCCTACCTCGATTTGCACTCCAAGCACCAATATTTTGAGTAACAGAGCCATAACTCTCCGCTTCAGATTATGAGAAGCGGATAAGTATTTCACCGAAACTCCCGAGAAAACCTTAAATAAGCAATACAAAAAATAATAGATCAGCATAAAAATTATGTAAAGCTGTAGAATAATTTTGCTGGAATTGTTGGACTTGAAAATTATAGTTAAGAAGCAATATAAAGAAAAAAAAGGAAGACAAGAGAAAAAGAAAAGAAAGAGAAATTAAAATTAAAATAAACGAATAAATTAACTAATGCATAGTATAGACCCCTTGCATTGGATTCCTAGAGGGATTGTTCCTGGGGGACAAAACAATAGGCCGTCTTGAATACTTGAATCTGATTGGTTGAGAAAATACTCTATGTTCCACTAAGTTGTAATTGGACACACCTAGTTGGACAGTTGGTTGTCCGTATTTAAGTTATAAATGTTCAAAATATTACTAACTGTGACGTCACCCCAGGCTTCATTAAATATTATACAAATTTTGACAAATTTTACCTTTTATTTCTTACTGGTGGGGAAAAAAATCYTWAAACGGGCTAAATTCAAAAAATAACCACACAGAGCGAAAGAAGTGCTATTTCTCAATGATCGGGAAAAATTTCGAGGCTTTATTTCCCGTTTCAATGATTTTATTGAAATTTTTGATGAATCCCCATACATTTCCTTATAACATGACACCACAGAAACCAAGCTTGGGCTACCTGTGATATATCATAATTTTCTCTTTCGTTTTTTATCTTGACTTTCTAACAATAACTTTTCACAATATTGTCCTTCTGTTGGCTTGAAATCGAGCGATTTCCATTAAACTTCAGAATCTTAGAAAATAATTGGTCATATTTCTGTCTGTCGAGTTTGGAGAGAATCTATCGATCGCTAGGGTAGTTGCGCGGCAAAATAGGCCGCAAAACTGAGCACAAAAATAATGCAATCCACAGATTTTCTCCAAACTTAAGAGAAAAATCTAACCTTGACTTTTCCATTTTCCATATAGTCAAGCCAGTTAATGCCGTTATAACTATATGACAGACTATACTGTTTAACGCTGCGTCCGCCAATATCTGCCATTGTTACTATACCAGTCACGTGTTTTGGTCCTGGCACTACATTAATAAGCAAAAACTGATCTTTATCTGCAAACGTCCGCCAACCAAAGGAGAACAATTGACTACGTTGCGCTGTATAAGTTGTCCACGATGACTCTTTCAAAGCATAATTAGGGATGGATCTATAAAGAGGACTTGAGTAAGCTACAAGAAAGTTAGATAAAGTTAATACGTAGAAGGCTTGAAATGGTTTTCTTGGGCACGTGCGCGCGCAAGGCTAATTATGAACTACAATTACAATTGAACAAATTGTCTGTACTTAAGGACGTCGATAGGCATTGTTCATGGGCAATTTAATAATGTCAAACGCTTTATTTTTATTCAAATATTTTCAGTCACCTTAACTAAGGTATGTATAGATCTACTAAGAGGGATTAAAGAGGAGCATGAGTCTACTTACTTCGTTGGCCAATCATCTCAACTCTCATACAAATGTGGATCTTCCATGTCATAGGATTAAATCTGAAATATCTTCCTAGTATCTCGGTACCAAAGAAATAACTTCCTTTTGGCAGAACCTGTGAAGTATAGAAAAAAATGATTGGATAGCCGTCTTGATAAACATGTTTAGAGAGTATTCTGACGAAGTATGAATGTGCAATGAGATAGTGTGCAGTAGTATGACGTGCCATATTATAAGTAGATTAAGAAATCTGATATGATGTAGTGTAACATGACTCGACGTAAGGTGATATGATGTACCCAGACATGATGTAGTGTGACATGACTCGACGTAAGGTGATGTGATTTACCTTGACATGATGTAGTGTGACATGACTAGACGAAAGGTGATATGATGTACCCAGACATGATGTAGTGTGACGTGACTAGACGTAAGCTGATGTGATGTGCCCTGACATGATGTAGTGTGACATGACTAGACGTTAGGTGATATGATGTACCCAGACATGATGTAGTGTGACATGACTAGACGT